GAATTGAATGAGAATCTTGAATTTGACTTGGGTACTACGGATTCTTCTGATGCCGACTCTGAAGGTGCATTTCCAGATTCGTTACTCATTTTTATGGGTTTCTCTTTTTGTTTTGTTCTCTATTTTTAGATTTTAGGATTCCAAAATGAGTTATTTGGAGAAGATTAATAGAGGTTCGGGTTGGGTTATACTCGTTTCGCCTGAGTCAGGTTGTGTCAATATCAACCAAAGATATTGGGTTTGATATCAATTAACGTTATAAACCATAAAACCAAGCTCGATCTTTTTCTATGTGGAAACGAGTATTGATCTTTACAATTAGGGATAAATAAGTTGATATAGTTTAATTGTGTGCAAGTGGGACGAGGTATAAAGATCTTGTAGATTTGTTATGATACAATAGTTATTGTGTGGAAATAGATCGTTAAAGTATGGGTAATGGTATTGTTTTACTCATGTTGTGGTTTAGCCAACATTGAGAATATTGAGATGGTTGAGTACTCGTATGACTCCATTCAAGCCCCGAGACATGGAAACATTCTTCTAAGGATCTTGAGAAGCATGTCCGGTTTGTTCAGGAGGGATCTTCTACATTACTAACAAAGGAGTAAAGGGTACAGTTTTTCTCAAAGAAACATATGGTGGTCCTAATTTTATCAAGAAATGCCAATTATTATTGTTCCAAGATATATTCGTTGTTGAACTCTGTAGACGGAGAGAAGTAAGTGTAATGAAATGTAGTCTTCAAGTGTTATCTTCTGATCTTACATCAAATCAGAGTAGTGTAGTGTACCCCCAAGGCATTTGTTACCCACTGATTCTATTTCATATTAGTGATGGGCCTAACTCACACCCAAAAGCTAGCTCAAGAGTGGAGGATTGCCCATACACATATATATTGCCCAAAGATCACATCATTAAACGATGTGGGACTCTTAATAGCCCCTCTCGAGATGTGGGTGGGAAACGGTCCATCGGGAAACAGCCCAAGCCCAACATCTCGGAAATACCACAGCAATGGGCCACTTTACAGATTAGAAACTGTTTATGTGGGAAATCATATACTGGGCAGAACCTTGGGCTCTGATACCATATTAGTGATAGGCCTAACTCACACCCAAAAGCTAGCTCAAGAGTGGAGGATTGCCCATACACATATATATTGCCCAAAGATCACATCATTAAACGATGTGGGCTCTTAATATTTCAGCAAATAAAAAAGAACTATTACTCGTTAAGATATTATTGATTTTTCTCCAACAAACAGAACCTTCATTGAAAGGGTACCAAGGGTGACGTGACATACTGTGAATGTGATATGAACAATCTTATGCATTGAAAGCCTTTTTCAAAAAAAAAAATAAAAAAAAAAATAAAAAAAAATCTTATCCATGTGGTGGTATATTGTGGATGCAACTGGGGTGGGGTTATATATAATACGCTCGTTGTTTTCTTTGTGTACACGACTCTCTTGATATGTTTTACGCACACGACCGAGCATCTATTTGAATGCAGGAGAAGGGGGTTCAGAACTTATGTGTCTTGTGAAGGTTAACACTTAACGAGAAAACTCTCTATCTCATGGTGCTTAATGGTAAATTGGTAATATACGCTCTCAATCAGGCAGTCTAATAACACGTGTAAATATAATAGTTGAACAAGACATGAATCTAAAATTAAATAAAACAAAATATATAAATTATGGGTTTTTGAGCAACATATAAGTTATGGTCTAAATTTTAAATATACTTTTAAACTACTTCATTATATTGCTAAATATACCGTTATTTTTTTTGAATTTATTAAAGATTATTTGAGATGACACTTCTGCTAATCTACCAATTCTGCTTTACATATAAAGACTAGTAACTTATAACTACGTAATAGTTGTCTGTTTTTTGATATTAGTTAGGTTCCGTGTCTTGTTATAACATGTCGAAACCTATTGACAGAAAAAAAATCCAAAGTCAGATTCTTTCTTCGTTTTTGTTCTCTTTCCTGAAACTTTAACTAGTAAATGTATTCATGTTCTTGTCATTTGGCATCTCAATTCAAATGAAGGGTACACAATTTAGAGCGTAAAACTAAGTTCTTGAGTTGACTGAAGCATCAAAGATCAACTAAATACACATCTTTGAATTTAATTTTTGTTCTTTTCCTACAATTTCTTTGATGAAGCCTAATCACAGACCAAACATAAGGATTATCTCAACGTGTTAACCACGAATTGGAACCATACGCTGATCTCGCATTCGATTACAGAACTGTCACGTGTGCTTTCCCAATTTCGGGTTATGAGCTACTAACTTATAGTATGGGCCGAGTGATATTTGTCGAGGTCCAGGAAGTCTAAGTTAGGCTGAAGAGCCCAAGATCTTATAAGCAGCGTTTTTGACAGGAACATTCTTGTGTGTTTGCAACGGAGGAATCTAGCCATGTGCAGTTTGTTACAGAACGGGTGAGCTGGCAGTCAAGTTGCAAGGCAGTCAAAAGGAATCTAAGCAGGTATAAGAAGAGAAAGAAAACAAGGAATCTTACTAGAGGAAATTCTACGTCTAAGGGATCTGAGCGGGTGAGAGAAACACGTGAGAATTGGGGTGTGAGATCATCGAGTTCCTGCGCGTATTCTGTACTTTGATTTCGGTTAGAGAGACGTGAGATATTGGTGAGAGGTGTGAGCTGTGGTGAGTGAACTCATAGCTTGTATTAGGTTTCCTTTCTGCTGAGACGTACCTTGGACTCGTTAACGTCCTTGGGAACTCATTATTCTCGTGTCTTTAGTTTTCTGCATAACACAAACAACAAAACGATAAGAGCCATAATATGATAACAAGATGACCTAGATAACGAAGCATAAACCACTACAAGTGGTATTAGAGATGTGTTATACGGTTCAGGGAGCTTCATATCTGTGGTGATTCTGGTTTTCTTTCATAGATCTGATCAGGTTAAGGAATCTCTTCCTGATCATCTTTGTGTGAGGGTCACTAGTTTCAGATCTGAACATCTGTGTGGCTTTCTCTGTTGTTTATTGGTTTTCTTGTCTTCTGGATTTCTGGATATTCTCTGCGGTATTGTATTTTTGGTGGTTTTCTATATTCTCGTGATTACAGGCCATGTTCAAGTTTGTGGTTAGTGAGTTATGGAACCAACAAAAGCTAGGTTTGAGGTGGAGAAGTTTGATGGGGAAGGTGATTTTGCGTTATGGAAACACAAGATCCTGGCTCAGCTGGAGATTCTCGGGTTGGATTCTGCTTTACAACCTGAGGAGATATACATCAAAGGCAAAGGGATTGCGGATGATGATCCTGGTTTAAAACCTGCAATGGATTCTAAGCGGCTTGAGAAGGATAGGAGAGTAAGAAACTTGCTAAGTTTAAGCCTTAGCGACATGGTTCTAAGGAAGGTTATAAAATCTAAGACTGCTTTAGAGATGTGGACAGCTCTGGAATCCACATATCAAATCAAGTCGTTGCCGAATAGATTTTATCTAAAGCAAAGATTTTATAGTTACAAGATGGATGAAGACAAGAACCTTGATAAGAATCTTGACGTCTTCACCAAGCTGGTATCGGATCTTTCAAGTCTTGACGTAGAGCTAAGTGAGGAAGATCAAGCTGTGATACTCCTTAACAGTTTACCTAGGAGGTTTGAACCATTAGTACACACTCTGAAGTATGGTAGAGACCAGGATACAATATCACTCAAGGAGATAACAAGTGCAGCTTACTCTATTGAGCTTGATGTGAAAGCGAAGGGTACTAATGGTTCCTCTAGTACAAGTACTGAGGGTCTCTATTTTCAGTCAAGAGGACGTTTTGATAAGAAGAACACAACGAGGGGTAAGTCTAGTAGCAGAAGCAAGTCAAGACCTAAAGTAAAAAGAGCGTGTTGGGTATGTGGTGCTGAGGGACACTTCAAGAAAGATTGTCCCAAGAGGAACCAACAACACAACGTAACTAAGGCATAAGCTAGTATTGGAAAGGCTCAAAATGATGAGCCTGTCATGTTGACTGCTTCAAGTCATCAAAATCGAGATGGTTGGGTCTTAGATTATGGATGTTCCTATCACATGACGTTCCAAAAGGATTTGATGTTCGATGTTGAGGAAATCAATGGTGGGAGGATATTAATGGGAAATGACACGTTCTGTGAGATTACTGCTGTTGGGAAGGTGAAGTTCTTAAATTCAAATAACAC